AAACTTCTGTCTTAACACTGTCTTTGCTGTTACATGTTTTGATATGGTTTACTGACATACTCATTCATTTACAGTAACTGTTTAATTTCTTTTTTGATTTGTTATGTGATCCACTGTTCAACAAGGAATGTGTTATTCAGTCTGCATGTGTTTGCATATTTTCAAGAAATCTTTATTGTCTTCAGGAAAGAGGCATGATATGGTTTCATCTTTTTAATTTGCTGAGATTTGCTTTATGGCTTATCATATGATCTCTCCTGGAGAGAATTATATGTACTGATGAGAACAGTGTGTATTCTGCAACTGTGGGCTGACAGGTTCTGTAGATATCAGTTAGGTCCATCTGATCCACAGTGTAGATTAGTTATGTTATTTCTTTGTTGGTTTTCTGTCTGGTGATCTGTGCATTTATGAAAGTGGGTAGTTGAATTGCCCTGTTACTATTGTATTGGAGTCTACATCAGCCTTTAGATCAATTAACATTTGTATTAGCCAGGTGCCCTGGTAGTTTAGTGCATATATCTATCTTCCTGTTAAATTCACCCTTTAATCATTATTCAATACCCTTCTTTGTCTCTTTTAAGAGTTTTTGTGTTAAAGTCTATTTTGTCTGATACTAGTATACACACACCTGTTAGATTTTGCTTTCTGTTAGCATGGAGTATCTTTTTCCATACTTTAACTTTCATTTTGTGTGTATCTTTTTTTTAAAGATTTATTTATTCACTTGAAAGTTAGAGTTACACACACACACACAAACACACACACACACGGGGTGGGGGGGGCCTTCCATCCGATGGTTCACTCCCCAGTTGGCCACAACAGCCGGAACTGTGCCAATCTGAAGCCAAGAGCCAGGAGCTTTCTTCCAGGTCTCCCTCACGGGTTCAGGGGCCCAAGGACTTAGGCCATCTTCCACTTCTTTCCCAGGCCACAGCAGAGAGCTGGATTGAAAGTGGAGCAGCTGAGCCGGCGCCTCGGCTCACTAGGCTAATCCTCCGCCTTGCGGCGCCGGCACACTGGGTTCTAGTCCCGGTTGGGGCGCCGGATTCTGTCCTGGTTGCCCCTCTTCCAGGCCAGCTCTCTGCTGTGGCCAGGGAGTGCAGTGGAGGATGGCCCAGGTGCTTGGGCCCTGCACCCCATGGGAGACCAGGAAAAAGCACCTGGCTCCTGGCTCCTGCCATCGGATCAGTGCGGTGCGCCAGCCACAGCGCGCCGGCCGCGGCGGCCATTGGAGGGTGAACCAACGGCAAAGGAAGACCTTTCTCTCTGTCTCTCTCTCTCACTGTCCACTCTGCCTGTCCAAAAAAAAAAAAAAGTGGATCAGCTGGGTCTCGAACCAGTGCCCATATGGGATGCCGGCGCTTCAGGCCAGGGTGTTAACTCACTGCACCACAGCACCAGCTCCATGTATATCTTTTTTTTTTTTTTTAACAAAAATTCATTTATTTATATGAAAGGCAGAATTACAGAGAGGTAGAGGCAGAGAGAGATAGAGAGGTCGTCTATCCTCTGGTTCACTTCCCAGATGACTGCAATGTGCAGAGATGAGCCCAACCAAAGCTAAGAGCCAGGAGATTCTTCTGGGTCTCCCATGTGCTTTTAGGGGCCCAAGGACTTGGGTCATTTTCTACTGCTTTCCCAGGCCATAGCAGAGAGCTGAATTTGAAGTGGAGGAGCCAGGACTCCAACCAATACCCATATTGGATGCCACTACGGACGGTGGTATTACCTGCTATTAAACAATGCCAGCCCCTTGTGTGTATCTGTGGTGTCTGGTCTTGTTTTTTAATCCATTCAACTAATCTGTACTTGTTAATTGGAGAATGGACCATTTACATTCAAGCTTACTATAAAGAAGTAACGACTTGGCCCTTCCATTTCCCCATAAGTGTTCATATTATTTGCTTTGGATTTCCTAGGAGATTTTCTGCCTTCACATTCATTCATACATAATGATAACTAGCTGTGTTTCTGTATGTGGCATATCTTTAAGCATCATTTATAGGGCTGGACAAGTGGTGACAAACTTGCAATTTCTGTTTGTTAAGGGAGGTTTTTATTTCAACTTAATTCACAAATGAGAACTTTGCAAAGTAGTATGTTCTGGGCTGACAGTTTTTTTTTTGTTGTTGTTTTTGTCTTAAGACTTGGACTATCTCTCCAGTCTCCCCTAGCCTGTAGCCTTTCTGGTGAGAAATCAGCTGTGAGTTGACTGGAAATCCTCTGAAAATGATCTGGCATTTCCCTCGTGCACATTTTAGAATCTTTTCTTTGTTTTACTTTTGAAAGTTTGCAATGTGTCATGATTAAGTTCTGTTCTTTTTTATCTTCTTCTTTTTTTTGTTTTATTTAAGTTATACAAGTTTCATATATATTTAATATATACAGATTTAGGATCATAGTGGGACACCCTGCCCATCTGCCCTCCTACCCACATTCCAACCTTTCCTCCACCTCCCTCTTAGATTCCCTGATCATGTCTATTAGGATTTCTATGTGATCCTTATACTGGGATGTCCCTTTCTTTGTTCAAATTAAGGAAGTTTTCTGTTATTATTTAACTGAATTTGCCTTCTCATTCATTCTCTTTCCACACATTCAGGAACTCCTACGACCTATATGTCGATTAGTTTGATAGTATCCCATAAATCTTGACCACTTTTTAATTTATCTAATTTATTCTTTTTTTTGGTCTGATATTTTCTGTGATTTTTCATCTAGCTCAGATATTCTTTCTTCTGCTTCACTAAGTCTGTTATTAATAGTTTCCTCTGTATTTTTATTTGAAATGTTGAACACTTCATTTCTAATATTTTAATTTAATTTTGCTTTAAAATCTCAATCCCATGGGAAAATTTTCCATCCATATCATGTATGGATTTTGTTTACTCATGAATTTGCTTCTTATTGCTTCTGAATAATCCTATGATCATTCTTTTGAATTCCATTTCAGGCATTTCCTCAATCTCTTGGTCTTCACATTCTCATATTGAAGTGTTGTTACGTTCCATTTGGCGGAGTCATGTTATCTTTGTTATTCTTGTTTCTTGAATTTATGCCTAAGTTTTCATGCATTTGTGGAATTACTTGTTGGTTTTCTCCTCTGATACATTGTATGTGTGAATTATGCCTCTGTGGCTTAATGTAATGTCTGCTATTTCAATGAAAACCCAGAAGCATGTGCTTGGTGTGGCCAGGGAGTTCTACTCAGTGCTCAGGGTGAAGTGAGACTCCAGGGTGACACCCACGTTGGGTGTGGTAGATCTCCATTGACGCAATGACAGCCTCACCTCCTGTCATCCAAAGTGATCAACGCTCAGGGTTAGCCCCCAGTGTATACAACCCTCATCCATGGTGGCACATGACCCACACAAAAGATATGTGCAGTCCTCACTGTGACCAGGGGACCCTTTGCAATGAACTACCTCAGGTGATCAGGAGCTCTGATGTGAGACACAGGGATTGCCCAGAGAATCAGTTATACCTCACACCGTATCATGCAGTCACCAAATTCACACAATCACAGCACTCAAGGTCCTCATAACCACAGGGTTCAGAAGATATGCTCAGCCCTGGAGCTTGCCCCTTCCACAGAGTACGGATGCAAGAAGTTCGCAGTGCCAGCTATTTGTGGGTGCTTTATCTTGGCAGTTTGGGCCCCAGAGCTTGTGATATATTGAGAGGATAGAAGTACCTCACAATCCTACGTGGGTGTCCAGCACCTTGTTAAACCCTCAGCAAGACTCAAGTCAGTGGGGCAACACAGTATTTTCTCTCTGCTAAAATCCCCTTGTTACAGGCACACACAAGAACCACCACAGCCTCTGCTGTGTCAAAATGGCACTTTCTCATGGACATCACTGTGGTTTAGTCGCTTAAATCAATCTGCAGGGCTCACATCTGATATCCGCTCCAATTCAAATACTAGCTAGTCCACTTCTGACCCAGCTCCCTGCTAATGCTCTGGGAAAGCAGTAGAGGACGGCCTAAGTGCTTGGGCCCTTGCCCCTATATTGGAGACCCAGAGGAAGCTCTGGACTCTCAGCTTTGGCTTGGTTCAATCCTGGCCATTCTCACCATTGGAAGTGAAACAGCAGATGGAAGATCTCTTTCTCTCTCTCTCTGTCTCTCCCTCTGTGGCTTTCAAATAAATACATCTGTTTTTAAAAAATGGTATCTTCTCTCCATCAGCTGCTGGGTGTCTTTGTTGGGAGATGAGAAAGAAACCTGCTTCTTTGGCTGGATTAAGTGGCTACCCTCTCCCCTGCACTCTCCAGGCTGGAATCACAGAAATGTGGTCTGAAAGGCTCTCCCTCTGACAATATCACAAGTGGCATGGGCTGCCACAGAATGCTCTTACCTCACACCCCAAAGCTGTCATCTCCTCTAGCTCCTAGCTGTGGGTATCGTGTGTGGTGTCCATGCTTGTTGCTACCCACCCGCGGCTTCCACATTGCTTCATAGCCTCTTCCTTCTGTAGCATGTCCACCACAAACTTCCCTCCAGCTCTCCCCGGGAATGCACTTCTTCTGTTTGTCTTCTACTATTTCCCCTTGGTCAAAAATAGCACATCTTTCCCCTATTCATCCATCTTGGAATCTCCCCCATGACACACCATTCCATTTGCTAAATTAGTTGGAGAAATTGATTTTACCAGAAAGATTCAGAAGTAATGGAGCATTATATTCTAGTGAAAAGTTTAGACATAGAATCCTTAAACTTCAGAGAGTCAGTGAGGTTGCAACTCATATCCATAGCCAGAGACAGAATTAGAGGGCTACAAGTCCTAGCATTTCTGTGGCCTGTTTAACTTTGGTTGTTTGATTTAGCAACCTGTGCCTGGGCAAGAGAGGAAAACACCCAATATATTTACCTCCCCCTAGTTAAAACTATATTTGTCTGCTTTGTCTCTAATTACTCAAATATGTTCTCTTACACAGGCATGGTATTTTTCTGAGTGATTTTTTATCATATTTTTATATTTCTTTCCCCTCAAGGTCTCCAAAAAATGACCTAGTTGATAACAGTGTCTCTTGTGTTCAGCTTATTGTCTGATTTGAAAGGAGTGAGGAGCTTTGTCAAAGGTGTCAACGATGGCCAGCAGGGGGCACCAGAACATCCACCTGTGCAAATCCTGCTCTACTGTATGGACCACATCACTTTTCCAAAAGTCAAGATCTCAGATAGCCAGCTTGAGTGGAGGTTACAGCCAAATAGAATGGCTTGCTCCCGAAGATTTGTGAGTTCCATATTTTCTTCATGAAATCATCTAAAGTCTAGCGGACTTGTTGGCATTTTTGTCGTTCATGTCCCAATCATGTCCCCCTGCTGACAATATCAGTTTTGAGAAAGAAGGGTCCAGGAAAGAAAAAGGCCAAGTAGATAACCCTGAATTTCCCAAAGCTGCTTTCACAGTCACTTTCTGTTGTTTTTTTTTTTTTTTTTTTTTTTTTTGGTAAGATTTATTTGTTTATTCAAAAGGCAGAGTTACCTAGAGAAAGGGAGAAAGATCTTCCATCTGCTGATTTACTCTTCAAATGGTCACAATGGCCAGGGCTGGGCCAGGCTGAAGCCAGGAGCTTCATCTGGGTATCCTACATATGTGAAGGGGCCTAAGTACTTAGGCCATCCTCTGCTGCTGTCCCTGGTAGATTATCAGGTTGTTGGAGCACAAGTGGAGCACCAGGTTTGAACCATTATCCATGTACGATTTTGATTTGCAGATGGGGTCTTAACCTGCTATACCACAACACCAATCCCCACTGTTAATTGACTGAGTGAGAATTGGCAAGATTGTTAATGTCACTGCAGTTCTCGGTGTGAGTGTGCGTAGGTATTTTATTCAAGACCCAAGTAGTGTTGATACTAAGAGATCCGTCATTTTGCCCTGTCATGTCTGGTTTGCTTTAGTAATAACCTCTCATTCTTTAATCAATTTTACTAAACAAGATATTCCATAAAATAGAGGATGGAGAGAGAGAAAGGGGGCATGGAGAAACCTGCTTGGTGATGAAACTGGTATTCTGTAGCTTTGTGTGGAATGGGAACTTCAGCACAAGGTCAGATAAACACAGGCAGGGAGGTGAATGGGCAATTAATTGTCAGCTGCACTACTTGTTTTCATGGCTTAGAAACTCATGCCATGGGGCTCACTGGGTTGCAGTCAGTTAAGAAGCCACTTGTGATGCCAGCATCCTGTATCAGAGTGCTTGTTTGAGTCCTCACTATCTCTCTTCTCATTGAGTTTCCTGCTAATGTGCTTGGGTAAGCAGCAGAAGGCGGCACAAATCCTGGGACCCCTGTCACCCATGTGGGACACACAGATGGAGATCCTGGCTTCTGGTTTTGGTCTGACTCAGCCCTGGTTATAAGCTGTTTGGGCAGTGTACCAGTGGATGGAAGAACCTCCCTCTCCCTCTTTTCTCCCTCTCCCTTTCCTTGTCTCACCTTTCTCTGTCATTCTGCCTTTTAAATGAATAAATAAATCTGAAAAAGACCCTCATGCCTTGCTTAGTAAAAATGACAGATAGCTGACCTTTTTCTGTCACTGGTAAATGTTCTGTGGCACTTTATGGAACCTATGCATTTTATAGCTTCTTTAAGTCTCTCCTTTGCAACTGGCCTGTACCTTGATGGATTTTATGTATGGGCACCTAGCTGAATGTCCAACAAATATACCCTTCAATGCATGCTATATGATCCCCATATGGACACAGATGTATGCCACAGCAAAATGGTCCACCCTTGGGATCAGTGCTTTGAAGAGATGCTGTGGCAGGAGGCAGACTTCTGGCTGTTTGAGAAGGCCCTTCTTGTCATGGCTGTCTGGATAAGCTCTTAAGATCAAGGACCCTTGGCCACCACAGATACTTCTCAAGGGTAAAGAGGATCAAGGGAAGGACTTTCTAATGTGGCAGGGCCAGGGAAGCAGCCTGGTTGGATCTAGTGGGATTTTGGATGTATTATGAAGAAATGGTGTGGGTTCAGTCTTCTATAAGGCTCTTGAGATAAGATTCTCCACATGCCAATATCTGGAGAAATAGGGAGTAGATACCTGTTAGTTGCTATTTGACTGGAGCATAGAATACTCTAACCAAATAGATACCTAATGCAGCTATATGTTTTAAGGGATCTTAGCAAGGTACTCTATGTGTATGCACACTGAGTCTTATGGAGCCATCCTGTGACCTTGCAAACTCATCCATACTGAAGACCGCTTTAACACTGACTAGAGTTTCCAGGCTGAGGCTCCCAGATTCCTTTTGCCCAGGCTTACATCCTCCTTCTATAATGCTAGCTCTTACTGTTCCAAAGGGAAGTAATAAGGTGGCTTCTCTGGGCCTTTGATTCCATGTTGGTCTGTATTCATGTGCCACCATAACAAAGTAGTACCAGAGATGGTAGCTTAAAAACAGAAACTGATTTTGCCTAGAAGTCCAAGATCAAGGTTTTAGCAGGGCTAGTTACTTCTGAGGGCTCTTGGAAAAAGGCCTGCACCAGGCCTCTCTCCTTGTCCTACAGTTGGCCATCTCCCTGTGTCTCCACACTGGCTTCCTACTCTGCAAATCTCTGAATCCAAACCTCATTCTTTAATAAGAACACTCATGTTACAATTGTGCTCACCTTAACTTATAAATAATTGCATTTGCAATGACTCTGTTTTCAATTACAGTGACATTCAGAGGCCTGGATGGTTAGGACATCAACATATGAATTTGCTGCTGGGCACAACTCAACCAGTGATGTTCCATGAAAGAAACTACCGAAAAGGAAAAAGACCAAAGCAAGATTTCTAAGTGGTGGGATTTAGAAAGAAGGGAAGAGATGTACCTTAGGACATTAGCTACAAGCTTGTAAGTTCTCTCTCTCTCTCTCTCACACACAAGGCTCTACCCCCAAGTCACACTGTTATACACCCCGGTGGGAAGTAGGCTAAAAGAGGGAGCCACTCGCTAGCTGGTGGTTTAAATATGACTCTGTTATAGGTGAGGATGCTCCCTGACCCCACTTATTTCTTAGAAAACAAGAATGTGAGCGTCATTCATCAAGCAAATATAGATAGGAGGCTGCTACATACCAAGTCCTTCTCCATCAAATATGCTGCCCTAATGGAACTTGCTTTCTAGTGGCAGAAGCCAGAAATAAGCAATAAACATAATAAACAAATGATAGATTCGTAAGTACAAAAAGAAGAGAGTGTATGGATTGTGCAGTTGTAGTTGGAGAAAGACCAACCTGAGGGGGTCAGATGTGAGCAAAAACTTGAAGGTGAGAGGGAGTTGGTCTTGGCCGGGGCATGGGAGGAGCCTTTGCCAGCTGCAACAGAGAGCAGCAGCTTCAGAAGGCCTCTGTGGCTAGAGGGAAGTGAGCAAGGAGGGGAGGTGCAGGAAAGGAGGTCAAAATGTGATGGGAGAAGGGTCACGTCGATCATTGTGGACTTGGCTTTAGCTGGGTGTGTTGGAGCAGGGTTTTGAGCTAAGCAGCAACATGTTGTGTGACATGCTTGCGAAGGCTCACCTTGGGTGGTCTGGAGGACAGACTCCAGATGGTGAGGGTGAAAGCAAGAAAACAGTGGAGAGGCAGTTACAGCATTGCAGAGGAGTGGTGCCATGGTTTGGTGCCAAATGGCAGCAGTGGAGGTGGTTCTTTGCTTGAACTGGTCACCCTTACCACAGTTTCTTACTTCCAAGGCATTGAACCAAAATTGCCTGAGTGCATCCTCCTTCATGAATGCTTTGTTCTGGCCCTCAACCAAGATCTGACTCGTACTATCTAGAGTGAGTTACTGTGGTTTTCCCTTCTAGTCACTGCTGAAGAGCCATCTGTCCATTCCAAAGTTGAAGTTGTACCAGGGGTAGCATTTTTTTTTACAATATTGCAGGAGTACTTAAGGGAATCCCATTTCATTCCTAACCTAAGATGAGGCAGTTGTAAGCTCCTGGGTTAACTCAATGATACTGTATTTTTGCTGTTGTCAACCATTTTGTCACATAAAACTTTCTTGTAGGCACTATTCCTAATGCACGGCTCCTGAGCTATGGACAAGAAAGTTTCCATTGTGCACACGTATGTTGTTGTAGCAGTGCTTGGTCTCCGCATTGTGTGAGATGTTCTGTTGGAACATCAAAAATTAGTCTTCTCGCACCTATGCCAGTTCTATGATTCAGACTTCTAGTTCCTTTAAGAGTATGAGACTGGGCCGGCGCCACAGCTCACTAGGCTAATCCTCCGCCTTGCGGCGCCGGCACACCGGGTTCTAGTCCCGGTCGGGGTGCCGGATTCTGTCCCGGTTGCCCCTCTTCCAGGCCAGCTCTCTGCTGTGGCCAGGGAGTGCAGTGGAGGATGGCCTGAGTACTTGGGCCCTGCACCCCATGGGAGACCAGGAGAAGCACCTGGCTCCTGCCATCGGATCAGTGCGGCGCGCCGGCCGCAGCGCACTGGCCGGCCATTGGAGGGTGAACCAACGGCAAAAGGAAGACCTTTCTCTCTCTCTGTCACACTGTCCACTCTGCTGTCCACTCTGCCTGTCAAAAAAAAAAAAAGAGTTTGAGACTGGAGGGATTGCATGCTCTGTAAGATTCTAGCAGATGTTTATGTAGCATTGTGTGCCTGTATGCATTCAGGATTATTGTACATATTCAAATACTTCCTATAGGGGAAGGATAGGAACACGAGACAAGTTGATGTTCCCAGTTTAAAAATCTAGTGGTAGAGCTTGGAGATTTTTTAAAAAGCTATTTATTTATTTGAAAGAGTTATGGTGAGAGAGAGACACAGAGATATTCCAATGGTGGTTCACACCCCAAATGGCCAAAATGCCTGGGGTTGGGACAGGCTGAATCTAGGAGCCAGAAGCTCTGTACAGGTCTCTCACTTTTGTGAGAAGATGGCACTTGGGCCATCTTCCACTGCCTTTCTCAAGGCATTAGCGTGGAGCTGGATTGGAAGTTTTAGGAGCCCGGACACAAACCAGTGCCTATATGGAATGCTGGCATCAGGTTTGGTGGCTTTACCCACTACACCAAAATGCTGGCCCTGAGTTTGGAGAATTCTTGGGAGATCATGGTCCTGCTGGATTCTGGTAGTTATTGGAGGATTATTCTCACATGAGTTCACGTTCTTGCTGGTTGGAAGCTGAGGTCTGAGGACATGGTGTGGACAGGGCTGGGACCTTCTGAGGCCTTGCACCTCCACAGGTACATACTGGCTCTCACTGTGTCTCCACCTGCTCATCCCCTGTGTGTGTCTGTGTCAGAATGTCCTCTGCTTCTGAGACAGAAGCCACACCGCCTTAGGAATCACCCACGGCCTCACGTTGAGTGTCTCCAAGTGCAGTCACCTTCCGGGGTACTGGGGATTAGGAGACATGTCTCAGGGAGTGACAGTATGTGACTCTTGCTGTTTTATGGCTCAGATCATCCCACGTTGGCCTAGGCTTCCTCTGCATCAGCTCTGGTGCCCCTCCTCAGGCCCCCTTCAACTGTGGGCATTTTCTCTCTGGTCCCAGGCTGTTCCTGTCCCTTCTCTAGCCCTAACATCATCATTTCCCCAAAGAATCCTCACTGCTTCCATTGGATGGTGGGAGCTGCCTCCCTTGGGGCAAGTCTGTGATCTGGGGGTGCTGGCATCTGTGAGGGAGCAGAGGAGCGGGGCTTGAATTTTTTCTTCCCAAAGAAACCTTTTATTTAATGAATACAAATTTTGTAAGTACAACTTCAGGAATATTATGATTCTTACCCTCATACTTACTCTCCCACTCCCAACCCTCCTCTTCCTCCCTCTCCCATTCCCAGTCCCATTCTCAGTTAAGAAAAAAAGCCAATAAACTATTCCTTGAATATGGCACAGGGGGCTGGCACTGTGGTGTAGCAGGTAAAACCACCACCTGCAGTTCCAGCATCCCCTATGGGTGCCAGTTCGAGTCCCAGCTGTTCCACTTCTGATCCAGCTCTCTGCTATGGCCTGGGAAAGCAGCAGAAGATGGTTTGGGTCCTTGGGTCCTTGCTTCCACGTGGGAGACCCAGAGGAAGCTCCTGGCTTAGGACTGGCACAGCTCTAGCCATTGTGGCCAATTGGGAAGTGAACCAGCAGATGGAAGACCTCGCTCTCTCTCTCTCTCTCTCTCTCTCTCCAGACTCTCCCTCTCCTTCTCTCTCTCTGTAACTCTGACTTTTAAGTAAATAAATAAGTCTTTTAAAAAAAGTGACACAGTATTGAAAGAAGCGGCTGTGAGCCACCATAAAAGTAGCCTTAATAAAAAAAAAATGGGGCTCCTGAGACAAACAGTTCCAGAGACGGCCTTGGGAAATGGGGAGTAAACCGGTTCACAGAGAAAGCAGTTAGCTACTAACCAGAGACACGGGCAACAGAACATCCTTCTATGTAGATAAGCCCCCTCCCCTGTGCTTGTTCAAGCTTAACAAAGAAACCGTGAGGCACGTAGGGCACGTAGCCATCCCTTTCTGCTCTTCAAGGACAACCTCCCCTTGTCCAAGCTTAGACACGTAGGGCACGTAGCCCCCGTTTCTCCTCCTCCTTGATGACCTCCTCCCATTGTAGTTACCCAATAAACTTACGCCACCCTATGGTATGTTAATTTTGTGGTTTTGCCCCTTAAAAGCTGTGTGAGATAGCTGCTCGGGGCTCCTCTCTCTTTCTCGCTGCTTGCAGCAGCAGAGGGCCCATTTGCGCAAATGAAATAAAATTACCTCCTGTTCTATTGCATCGTCTGGTCTGGAGTCTGTGTTTCTGGGGTCGTCACAAGAGGACACTGCTTTTGGGGTCCTACATTTGGGGGCTCGTCCGGGATTTGGGGGACCCCAGACTCCCACACTCCATCGGCCAGACAGAGGTAAGTTTGCTTACTTGTGTATCATTGTAACTGTGGTTTGTACTGTTTGTCCTTGTCTGCCAGGACGACGTGGAATCCGTCCTGGGGCGCCTGTACAGGCTCAGTACTGACTGGACCGAAGGGGGAGACAGACGTGTCCTGAGGCCCCTGGTCCAACCCTGGAGGACGCTCCAGTGGTGGTCTGGGAAGGAGGGAAAGAGGGAATTTCCCTTCTGATGACGGCCGCTCCCTTCTGATAGTTTTTGTTTTGTCTTGGTCTGTTGCTGCGCGGCTTGTGATTTCAGACGTGTCCTGAGACCCCTGGTTCAACCCTGGAGAACGCTCCAGTGGTGGTCTGGGAAGGAGGGAAAGAGGGAATTTCCTTTCTTCCAGGGGAGAGCCTGGCCAGACTGCCGCTCCCTTCTGATAGTTTCGGTTTTGTCTCGGTCTGTTGCCGCGCTTCTTGTGATTTGTGTTCTGTGTGTCGCTGTTTTTGTTGTCCTTTATTTCTTACTGTCTCCCCCATCTGTTTTTATTGTTGTGTTTGATTGATAGATGTATACTTGTGTGAAAAATGTGTATTGTATTCTTATAATGTGTTAATTATGTCTACTTCTCAATGCAACTCTAGGGCCAAATGTAAGGACAAATTTTTGGGCTGGAGAGGCTTGTGCCTAGATTTGGCTCTGGTAACCAAGAAACTTTGCTGCCGAATGACCTTCTCCTGCTCCTTGGGAGCCTGGCCAGTTCCCGGGGAGGAGGATAAAGGAATGTTTTCTGATAAACAGGTGGGCATGCTTCATGTCTCGGCTCTCTGGCCAAGACCCGAGATGGGACGCACTGCTTGCCTAAAATCTTGGCAATGAGCCACCCTTGTCCTTGGAGGCTTTAGGGGGGAGCCGGAGCAAGCCTCTGTTGCTGCTGTTTCATCCTGGGGGAACACGCAGTCAAGCTGAATGTTAAATGTGCCCGTAATGATTACATGATCAATTGGCTACTGTGATTGAGGTGTTCTGTGACAGT